GACCTGGAGGGTTCTCCATGTGTCCACCCTCCTAGCCCTTTGCCATGGACCGCGGATCACATGACCAGAGCAGGTTCTTAGAGAGGCTGGCCGTGCTGGGCAGTGGTAGCCAAGGCATTTCCATGCAGCACTCTAGAGGCAGAGACAGGTGGACCACTCTGAGTTCCAGGCCAGCCTGTTCTCCAAAGCAAGTTCCAGAAGAGCCCATGTGACATAGAGAAAGCCTGTCTCAATAAGGAAAACTAGACAAGGAAAAAGGAAGCTGGCAGAAGGCTGGCAGAAAGGTCTGAAGAGGAAACATGCCTGGGGTCTCCTCTTGTACTGACGTCCCAAAGAAAGCCTTCCCCCCTCCTTTCTTCCTGTCCATTCCCCTTCTGTTCTCCCTCCCCCAATCCACACCTCCTCTCTTTCTGCTCAGCAAAGGGCAGGATTTTGGTGCATTCAAACCTCTGGTACAGAACTGAGACCTGAGACTTGTCAAGGACTTCCCTTCTACAGATTAGAGTCATTTCCCCACACTGACCTCTGAGAACACAGCCCGGGGTGTCACATGTGCCAGGCATGTGTTCAGGCACTGAGCTGTACTGTGAGCCCACTCCCCTCCTAGCTATTCTGACACGACAGTGTTAGTTAGCATCAGAAGCTGAGGGCCTCTGCGGAGGCCATCCTACCTGCATCTAAAAGATGATGTCCATGGCGATCTTCAGTGCTAAAGTGAGCCCGAAGAAAGACCACGGGAAGGGCAGTCCGATCCCCGGTTAACATTTCATAGTGAAGCTCTGAGGGGCTCATGCCAAGAGCCATCTCCTGGAAGACAATCAAGGTGTTGCTGTGACTTTGTTAGTCATCCCTGAGAAAGGAGTTCAACCAAGGCAGGGCGGTGGATGTCTGAGCAATTCGTGAGGTGGACCGACATTCTACCTTGTCTTTGTGCCATCAGAGAGTACTCCTTCTCCAACAGGATGGCGGTGTTCCAGGGCCTCGGGCGCCTGACTCAGGCTTTCTCATAGAATTCACAGCCTGTATTCCATTCATTTCCTATTTGCTCCAAACCCTCACACTGAGCTCAGGGTACAGGAGCAGACATGACCTATGGAGAGATGTGGTGTGCTTAGTGGTGAACGCAGGGACAGAAGCCAGGAGAGCCAACATGAGTCAAGATCACCCTTAAATCCATCCCCTGGCTTTCTGGACTCAGGTTTCTACAAGCTTCTGTTGATGCTACCAAGGAAGGAAGGGAAAGGTCCCAACACAGAATAAACTGAGAAGCTTGGGCAGTGGAGTCAGGAGCTTCCAGGCTCAGGGACCACTGAGTGGCAGGGCCTGTTCTGAGATTTCATTCTGAGATTAATGTTGCTGGCTTGCTCTCCTCACAGGTTAACAAGACCACCCTTGGGCTCTTGAGTACGACCATGTAGGTAGTCATGTCCTCAGATGTTCCATACTAACTGTTACAGGGACACAAAGTCCTGGTAAAATGACCTAGGCATAAAGCTCAGGGGCCATGAACTAGGATGCTAGGATTCAACAAGATCTAAAGACAGAGGACTAAGGCAAGAGGTTTGACATTCCCCAAATCAACAACCAAGGCAATTCTGAGAGATAGAAGGTTTTTTTTTGTCCTGACTGGCATCCAAGGCAGGAGAACAAAACATGTGTGGGTCAAGGCCAAGGCTCCCACTTGCCAGAGCAGTCACAAACTTCTCCAGTAAATGCTGGCACTGTTTCGTGTCCACCATATACTCCACCTGCAGAAACATTCAAAGGAGTGAGCAGCAGAATCCATCCCCGTGTCCTTCAATGTGGGCAGAGAGAATGACTTCATAGGGTTATCCTGCAACCTCCACATGCTAGGCACTGCACACAGATGCTACACACACATCACAAAGACACACATCCACAAAAGACAAGAGAGGAGAGAGTAAGAGAGAAGAGAGGAGGGAAGGAGAGGAGGGAAGGGGAGGGGAGGGAAAGGGAGAGAATAAATAAGTAAATAAGCGAGACGAGATACATCGTTAATGTTAAATGCTCCCCAAGTTGTCCTAGGCTCTGAAGCTAGACTATCTGTGTAAAGCAGGCCGAGGATTGTAGGCAACATACATACCAAGATGGAGCTGCAATGCACTGACTCTGCTGTGTCCAGGCTAGTGCGGTATCGGGAATGTGGACTGAACGTCCCTAACCGTAGGGAGAAGAAGGGATGTCACAGCTTCATATGAGCCTGGCAGAGGTGGACAGAGAAAAAGCACTGTTGTGAACCCAGCACAGACTGCTAGGAAATCACCTATGCCTAGGAAGCATCAGTCCGGGATCCTGTGAGACATCCCAATGATGTCAGCTGAGTACAGACAACGTAGTTATTCTGGGGGAGATGCTGAGAGGGCAAGAGAGGACAGGGCTGCTGGGCGTCAGGCTTGGACAAGGCAAAGCGAAGAGGCGAAGAGGCTGAAGCCTGCAGTCATGGAGCTGACGGGTTTGCACTGGGAGTAACAGAGCTGCCTGTCCTCCACTGTCAATGTGTGCAGCTGACAGTGACCCGGGACTAGAGTCTAGAGCAATCGTCTAGAAGAGGTTCACCTGTCAGCAGGTCTAGAGAGGAGTGATTGAAGGCCTATATTGACACGGGGTGGCCCACTTTAGGACAGTGCCAATGCCTGGGCTCGGGCCACGGACAGGGTGCGAGGGCATCTCTAGTGGATTCCAAGCAAGCAAGCTTAAATGCATGCTCTCACAGCCATCTGCTCGAGCACGGACAGGGTATGACGGGACACTGTGCGTGCATTTGTGCTCCCTACTCACTGGGGTAATGGGCTGTGGCCCAGCAGTGTAAGTCAAAATCACCACCGTGGAAATGACACTGGACCACGTTTTTTTCCAGATCCTCAAACAGACAACCCAGGACAGCAGGGGGCAGGTGTCTGATGGTTCTCCTATCTGACAACTGTATCAAGCTCTGACCCTCGACTCATGGTCTGAGAGACTAGAGGCACAGAGCCTGGCTCTCTCTCTCTGCTCTCTCTCCTCTTTCTCTCTCTCTCTCTCTCTCTCTCTCTCTCTCTCTCTCTCTCTCTCTCATTCTGTTCTCCAACTGCGACGTCAGAATTCCCCGTGGAAGTTTCAGACGCCCTGGGCATTCCTCCTCCAACAACCAGTTATGAGGGGAAAGCCCGCCAGGCGCTTCCTGCTGCCCTCACACCACCATCCACTGAGAGAAGCAAGGGAGAACAGCAGGGATCCCCAGTTCTCTCATTTCTAAGGACAATCATGGAACTCAAAAGACTGGACCTCTTCCAGGTGGCCCTTGGTCAAGTCCCAATTTGAGAGGATTTCTAAGTCTAGGCATAGGAATGAGTGACCAATGTCAGTCTGAGCAGAGGAGAAGGAAGAGGATGGGCAACCAAGGGATGAGAAGGACAGAGAGTCTCAGCTACCTTGAAAATTGGCCCGCCCATATCTTCCTGAGGCCCTGACCCTTAGCATAGGAGTCCTGAACTCAGGAAGCATTGCCCAGGAAGCTAGCCACGGGGCCAAAGTGCTCAGAGAGAGGTCAGCAGAGAGCCTGCACAGATGGTGCAACATTATAAGCCACTTCCAGGTTCTTGGCTAAGGAAGGCCTGCACCCAGAAAGATCTGAAAGGTGTCTGCATGAGACGTGGCACACGGATCCCCACCGTACCTGTAGGTACGTCAGGGGCCTATTCATTCCTAGGACTATTACTGGTTTGGGTCTGAGACAGCGTCATGGGACCTTCCCATCTTCCTCACCTGAACTTTCATTTCAAGTCTAGACATCTTCCTTTCTGGCATACGATCTAGCTTGGCAGAAAGAGCTACATCAACCACAGAACAAAGTAAACCAATGTGTTCCAGAGCATTGGCTCTCACAGACACAGCAAGACTTTGTTTTCAGATTGCTTTAGCAGCCACAGGCACGGAAGGACCTTGGTGCACCTTTGCTGACTGTGGTGACAGCCTAGGATATCTCTCTCCATCAGGGACTCCCAGAATGCATCAGGGCTTTGGTGAGTTTCACACTCCTAGCTGGTGACATCTACAAGGAACAGAGCGACAGAGGGTCCGAACACGGCGGTCTCTGCGTGTCCGTCACAGCTATCCCTCTGGTGCCCCATTTTCAGAGTAGAAAGACAAACCCACGTCAGTGTCAGGACCCCCAAGGTGACTGGTTGTGTGTGGGGGACAGGAAGGAGCATCAGGGGCTGAGCGACCGACCACCCAGGGCCAGAACTGCCTGGTGACAGGTTGTGCCTGGGATGATAACTGGCCCTGAACCCCCCCCCCCAGGTATTTCTGGAGAATGGTGGGTCACCACAGCAGGCACATGGCCTCTAAATGCTGGGGTCCACCACTGCCAGCCTATCAGGCTGCCTTCTGGCTACTGCCTTTGTCATTCGTCCGTCCCTCAGCTGCCTTTCCCTTCACCAGCAAAAGCAGAGTGCAGGTCTTTGGCCTCATTGGAACTTTCAAAACTCCTAGGGCCTGAGAGCCAAGAGAGGCTGGAGACCAGCACTGCAGCGCAAGTTAAAATTACGAGTAAATTTCTGTCAGGGCCCCTACACGTCACTACACCAAAGAGACAAGAGCTGCCTTCGTACAGGCTGACTGCCCGTCACATGGCCGCTCTCAGGGATTGCCCTCTGTCTCATCTCTCCTCCCAGACTGGGCTCAGAACTGCTCTCCTCACAGGGACCGTCTCCTCCAACTCCCTGGAAAACCATGAATGCTCTCAGGCCCGCTACCCCGCTGAACAGTTTCATGTGGACTTACCTCACGCCTTTGTCTTCCTGATATCCCGGACTCTGCCAGTGTGCAGGCTCCAGCGGGCAGCTTGACCATGGGACCAATCATCCTGGGATCCAGCACCTACTGAGGGCCTGACACATCCCCATGTTTACTGAGTGTTGGCCGGCAAAAGAACAGCTCACAGCATTGTACAAAGGCAGCCCAGAAGCTGGGGTCAGACTCAGACCCAATCTTCACACTTACTCCTTGTATGTGAGAAAGGAGTTGGGCCCGTGGAGGAAGAGTTGTCCCCGTGATGCTACTGGAGGACTGGCTCGGGCAGAGCCCAGGAAGTGAGTTCCAGGCTTCATGGCCTGGACTGAGAGCCCAGCCCTGCAGACTTCCCACAGCTGGGCCAATATCCCGAGGAAACGCAGAGACAGGTGTCCCATGGCCACCTCTGACAAATCTGGAGAGGGCCCCCGCCAGGCTCTTCAGGTCCAGAAGGTGGAGAGGGAAAGCTGAAGGAGTGTCAGACTGAAGTCGTTGCCTCGGTGACGACTGAGCTTGCAGTGCGCACACACCAGCGTACAAAGTAGGTCTGGAGAGGAGGGTCTGCGGGTTTTACTATCTACTTCCCAGGAACAGTTCCGCCTGGCAACATGGTTCCTGGCAACCTCCCAGGGTCCTCGCCCTTGCCTTCCTGTCTGCACAGTGACATAGCCCCATAAGTGCAGGCTGGGGTGTTTTTATAACTCAGCATGCCACCTCGAAGGGCACACACAACAGCCTTGTCAACAGTATTGTGTGTTGACAAAGAGCTACTGGATTAGATGGTGACAGTGCCCCAGCTCAGCCCATCCTGCAGCTGGAACACAACCTTCCAGGGACTGAGCACATCCTGAATGTCCTTACAGACTTGTGAGGGCAAAGCGGTCCAGATTTGTCTCCCATAATCTGGAAAAGGGTTCTACTATGACCCTGGGAATGAATTCTCCTTGGGTGATTGGAGGTAGAATGCATGGAGGAAGGGACAGAAACAATGGCCAGCATTGGTGTCCCATGACAAGAGAAGTGTTTGTGTCTTGGGATGGATGGCGTGAAGACTCAGCACTTCTGACCAGTTCATCAGATGCTTGGAATGACATTGCAGCGTCCTCTCTCTTGAGAATGGAGTTAGCTCCCTGCAGGGGAGCCTGTGTCGCGGCATCACACTGCTTTCTTGGGTTCACCGTTGTCCCATGGACTTGGCCTGCAGCATGACAAAGGAAGATTCCAGAATCTCACATGGAGTAGTTGCTGCCAGACCTGGCCGATGCCCCACACTTTTCTATCAGGGAGCATCCCCGAGCCAGTGCCTCAGTCTGTCCATCTGAACTGCAGGGAGACCCTGAGGTGGATCCTCAGAGCCCTGACCATAGTCCCTCTGCCATATTCCCGGTCATCACGTTAGGTTCCCTGAGGACACACTCCCCCTCTCTGTTGAGGGAATTCTACTTGGAGCTTCCAAGCCAGTCTTGGTCTATTCAGCCATGAGCATCAGCAACAATGGACCACCTGTCTTGGTAGTCAGAGGGCCAACAATGGGAAACTGGATGGCAAGGAAATGCAGGGACATAAATCACATGCCTGTCCTCTGACCAGTCAGGGAGACCCCCTTCCAGGTTCCTCAATGTGGAAGCCTGGGGGTTGGGAAACTGATGTGTGTTTGGTGACGCTGCCCTTTGAGGGCATGTCCCTGGAATGCCCCTGTGGAGGGTCCTGTGATACAGCAAACATCTCCTCCACACTGGGCATGCAGCTACACGGGCGCTGGGACCCAGCTCAGCCTCGCCCTGGTGGCCTCCACCTGTGATGTCAGCCTTGGCAGGGCTCAGTGCACTCTTGAGTGTCCAGGTGAAATGTAGGGAGTCACTGAAGTGGCCCCTTTGTGCCTTCATCATAGCCACCCTGCCAGGCACTAGGTCCCCAAGCATCCTTCTTACCTGCTCTCCTGTTCCCCATGGACAACGGCTCTCACACTACCCCTCCACTGAGAGATGTCGCTGCAACACTATGTCAGAGGCACAGATAAGAGTATGGGTCCCCAGATGTCTCTCCTTTCAGACGGAACCATCGCACCTGAAAAAAGACAGGACCTCTTTCAGGAGGCCCTTGGTCAAGTCCCATCTTCAGACAAATCTTAGTCTAGGCACAGGAATGAGTGGCCCATGTCACTCTGAGCAGTGGCAGAGCAGCAAAGGCAGAGCCCCGCACCCCTGTTTACCTCCATACTATACAGAGGGCAGCGGTGGCAATGCTGAGGGTGTGTGACTTAGAGATGCCACCCTCCCGTCCTGAAGACAGAGTCCCACGTGCTGCAAGGTCGACTCGTTTACCAGGGGCTGCAAGGGAGAAGGAAGAGGATGGAAAACCATGGGATGAGAAGGACAGAGTGTCCCCAGTACCTTGACGGTTAGCGCGCCCATATCTTCCTGACTCCGGGACCATCATTAGCAGATTCATCCCGAAGGAGGATGTGGGAGCAAAACAGGAAGCATTGCCCAGGAAGCCAGCCACGGGGCCAAAGTGCTCAGAGAGAGAGGTCAGCAGAGAGCCTGCACAGATGGTGCAACATTGTAAGTGACTTCCATGTTCTAGGCTAAACAAGGCCTGCACCCAGAAAGATCTGAAAGGTGTCTGCATGAGGCGTGACACAAAAGGATCTCCACAGGACCTGTGGATACTTCAGGGGTCTATTCGTTCCTAGAATGCCGCGAGTCATCTGTTCAGTATGGACAACTGTCCGCATGCCGTCACCCCCGTCTCCCACACCCGCCCTTTTCAAGTTTTCTGTCTACTGGTAGTTGAGTCGCATCAGAGACCACCCAGTTATGTTTGCGCTGGATTTCTCCCACAGGAGGAATGCTGTGTAGCAGGGTTAATCCAGCTGTTGTAGAAATGCAACTGAACATCCCCTAGGACCCCCACATACATACCCGCTCCTGTTTGTTTGGTTTTTCTGGTTTTTCCTGAGGCCGAGAACATAAAAGGGAACGCTCTCACACACACCCTCTCATACCTGCTTGCCCGGTTCCACCCTGGGTCTCTCTCTCCTCCCTTCCTCTATCAGTGGAGCCACTCGGTTGGTGAACATAGGTGGGGTCTGTGTCTCTGAACTCCCTGAGAAGCAGGAACACCATCTTGACAGGCCAGCCCTGATCCTCCTGAGCAGTCTCTGGCAGCACCCGATGCTCTGAGGGGAAGATGCTGTTTCCGTGTCAGAGTCTCGCCTACGTGGCAGGGGCATCTCCTCTTTCAGTATGCTGCCACGGAGACATGTGGCAGTGGAAGTTCTGGAGAGCGGGGCGTGGCTGCAAGTGGGGATCTCCCTCTGGGGACCATACTGGGGCAGAGAGGCACTTCTGGCCAATTTCCGCCCTAACAGCTTCGGCCGGTCCGGTTGTGAAGCCTGCCTGTGCAGGATGCCAAAGATGGGCTCGCTGGCTCTTCGTTTCAGACGCCGTGCTGGCAATGGGGTAGGCGTCAGGACGAGGCCCACATGCCTGGGTAAGGTGGTGAAGTCAAGCTCAGTCCCCTTGCGTACCTGCTCTTTGATGATGAGGTACGTCCCCATCATTTCATCGTAGTTTCTCTTTTGCAGAGATTCCAGGATGGCATTGGCATCAAACCCAAGGTTATCCAGCAGGTCTAGTATGTATGGGTCCAGGTAGGTGTCATCTGGGAGGTCTTCTTCACATTTCACGACCCACGGATGTTGTTCAATGTCTTCGATGGAGGGCCTCTTCTCTGGGACAACCGTGAGCATCTGGTGAATTAGGTTTTCCAGTTTCCCAGAGACGTGAGATGGGAGCTCATAGCTCCCTCGGATGATGTTCCCGTCGCTCTCTTTCGGGCTGCTTCCTTTGAAGGGGTGGTGCCCAATGGTGATAATATAGAGCACCACGCCCAGGCTCCAGACATCTGCCTTTTTCCCGTCGTAGCCTTTCCCTCACTATCAGTTCGGGCGCGTTATAGAGCTTGGTGCCGCATCTGCCCTGCAGCATAGTTCCAGCCCGACATCTTCTTGCGAGACCGAAGTCGGCCACCTTGATGTTCCCCTCTGAGTCCAGCAAGATGTTATGGGGTTTCAAGTCTCTGTGTATGATGTCCCGATCATGGCAATACCTGATGGCCGACACCATCTGACCGAAGAGTTTCTGCGCTTTTTCCTCCTGCAGCCTGCCGCCCTTCCTGACAAGCTCTGCCAGGTTTCCTCCAGAGGCGTACTCTGTTATGATATAGGTGTGCTTCTTAGTCACTATGATCTGAAACAGCTGGATTATGTTCGGGTGCTGTAAGAGCTGCAACGTCTCAATCTCTGCCATGATCATCCGAAGGCGTTCCCTTAGGTTTTCCACGGACTTTATGGCCACCCTGGTGCCCGAGAATCTGTGCCGGGCTAGGTTTACACACCCGAACGCACCTTGGCCGATGTCCCCTTTCAGTTTGTATTGCCTCCCCAGGCTGTCCTTTTTTGCCAGGCAGGCCATGGGGCCGGTGGTGGAGGCACTCACTCCAACGGGTGGTCGCGTAGTCTCAAGACAACACTTACTACAATAAAGAGTCCCACAGGTCGCACTGATACCCGCTCCCTGGTCTGCAGGGACAGAGCAGCAGCCAAGCCCGGGGTCTGATATATAGGGCGCTCATTCTCCCTTCATAGTGGCTCTTTGTGAGGTCGAAGGGAGAAGTGGGCCAATCACAGCAGGGTACAGCTTACAGTGACTGTCTCCCCACTGGGCCCGCAGCACCTTCCCCTTCTGAGGAAAGAGTCACTAGCCTCCACCAGCTTCGACGTTGGTGGACCAGAGAGACAGACACACATTTACTGCTTTAGAAATCACACCCAGCGCCGTGTGACAGCGGCCTTTGTAGCTGGACACTTGTTGGAAATGTACCTCATCCCGCAGAGATGCAAAATCATCAGGGGATTTTGTCACAGCCATGTTTACATCATCTGTCCTTGGGACCAGGGCCAATGAAGGCAGAAAGATCCCCGGCATGGGGACCTCTTGGCCACTGTGTAGCCTGAACCTGTTAGTCCTAGTCCTGGCCCGGGGGCTTGCTTCCAGCGTGTATTAAAGACCGCTTGCAGTGTGAATACAGGCAGGAGGAGGAGGCCCCCGTGGTCTCTCGGGCATGGGGTTATTCTCCGCCTGAGAAGGCAGTGATGGCTGCGGACCAGGAGGGTCTAGGCCTCTGTCATGCCTGTTCGGCACAAGGACTCCTGGGAAACCACTGTGTCCACGAGACTCTTATAGATAGGAGATCTGGATTCCTCCCTCGTGATCCAGAAATCTGATATGTCTCATCACCATGTCAGGGATTGTCGGGACAGCTCCCAGAGCACGGACCAGCCTCATGTGTGCACGTCAAACCTCTCCAGTCAGGCCTACGTTGTGGTGCCTGAGGTTCACTCCATTAGGAGGACGGGATGTGGTCTGTGGATCAGAGGTGAAGCTCTAACTGCCTTTGAGACAAACATAAACTAGCTCATGAGGACTGGTGGGGACAGAGGGACAGAGGGGAAACGGCCACTCTGTCCTGAGGAATCTTTCTGCTCCGGGTCATGATCTCTGTGACAGATGCCTACTCCTCCTCCTGAAGCAATGGATAGGGTGCTTCATGGTTTCTTAAGTGGCCAGGGACCACCATTCTGCAGCTTGCTGGCCCACACCATGACCAAAGCATCGTGGGGAGGAAAGGGTTTGCTGAGCTTGTATATCCCAGTCAAAGTCCATCGCCTAGGAAAGCCAGGGCAGAGCTCATGCAGAAACGGAGGAAAAGAACCCAACCCTTTGAGAGCACGCGTGTTTCCAATATTTTCTCACCCACCATCTCCTTCTACTGCCCTGAGGTAAGGGTGTGAAGACCCTGTCTTAGCTCCACGTTTGAGCAGGGGAAAGGAAGGTGCTCACATCTGGAGAGGACGACCCCACCCCTATGGTGTGCTGTGTGCTCATCTGATGTGCACTTTACAGGAGGGTCACGGGGGCACTGATGATGGGAGGCAGCTGGCCCAGGGTGTGTGGTCATCTGCGCTCGTCTGGAGGGTCACACAGACTCCTTGGTGCTGGAGAAACATTCCTGGCTCTGCAGGACTTGACCGCAACCCACCGCCTCTCAACTCAGACAGTATGTTCTACCCCTCATACACTGTGTCTCCCTCCCCAGACCACCAGGGCTGAGGACAGCCCACGCCCTGCTTAGCCGGCTCCATCTGGCAAGGCCACCGTTCCTTTACTGAATAAAGGGCACAGTTGATGAGGGCTGAGGCCCACAGGTGACATTCTTTATTGCTGTCGTCACTGTTTTCTCAGTCCTAATCAAAGTAAGGCGAGTGCCCTCATGGTGGTGTAGGAAAGGCAGTCACATGAGTTGGTGACGCTGGCAGTTGGTGCTCACAGCCCCAGGACATGACGGGGTGAGGCCCAATAGGCCCAATGAGGGTCACCTGTCAGTCACTTTGGCCTCTGAGGACAACAGGAATTTTAGAGGTCCGGTTGCCCACGGTCCTCTCGGGGCTGTTCCTGTTGCAGTGAGTAAAGAAGGCCATGTTCTGCCTAGGGGTTGCTGGTCCATTGTAACATGGGACAGATTACACTATTGCATCATAGATTGAAATGTTTAGTCATACCTGCTCTTGGTGGCCTTTGAAGCTTCTTAAATCCCTTTTGCTCTCTTTGACTTGAGACAGGGAAATTGAACATGTATGTGCATTGGGGTGCCAAGGCCATTCTAAGGGAAAACATCCCCCTTGAAGGGGTCAAGATCCCCAGAAGTGTGGAGGTGCAGTGATCCTGTAGGAACCGTGGGAGGGGCGGGGCTTAGGTATCAAAATTCTGAGGGACTCTTAAGGGGCAGGACTCTCTGCATAGGGATTTCTTCCTTCCCTTGTGTGAGCCAATCATCGCTAGAATCCAAGTGTCTCATTGGCACCTCAGGGGTGAGGTGAGGAGAGTCCCAGTCTGGGACCCCGGGCACACGAGCTGCTGGCAGACAGGGGCTCCCGCATGAGAACTGCAAGCTAGCCTGCATTTCAGGACAGCACAGGAACCTCACCAAGTCTCTACTATGGGCTCTCTCACTGGTCGAAGGACACACGGATCCACAATCTTGATGTTGCCTTCATTTTTGTTTACCCAGAAAGGGAACCCAAGTGGCCTCTCAGCTCCTCCTGCCAAAGAAAATTACCCTCACGATCCTCACTTCTAAACCTCAAGAGAAAGCCTGATTAATATTGCCTCTCTTTTAGATAGATCACTAGTCGATGGATCACCTTGTCTGGTGCTGGACAGAACCAAGCTCTTCCCTTCTTTCCTATCTCCAGGGTGTTTAGCAGTCATGAACCTTCAGTGCTCTGTGCTCAAACACCTGCTGTCCAAGAGAAGGAGCTCAGGAATCCTGAGGAGCTAGGATGGGGCTTTCAGTGCAGACAGGAAGGGCAGAGAAGGGCTACCTAGCTTCTTTATTATTAACTGTGTGTGTTTCTAAGAGTTTTTCCACCAGCCTGGTCCCACAGCTGCTTCAGCCCCATATAACAAACACACAGAGAGGCTGTATTAGATAGAACACTGTTGGCCAGGTACTAGCATTTCATATGGGCTAGCTTCGTCTCATATATTAACCCATTTCTATTAATCTAAGTGTTTCCGGGTTGTCTTATCTTACCAGAGACAGGGCCAGGACGTCTGTTGTCCTGGTCCTATATGGGATCCCCTCCTACCTCTGCCCGAATTGTCCTTGTCTCTTAGTCCCTTATATCTTGCTTTCCTATTGGTCAACAGGGCTTCATTCATTAACCAATTTGAGAAACATATTTACAGAATGACACCAGCCATCATGAGTGTTCTGCAACACTGTTTCCTGCTCCTCCCCTCAATAGCCTCCTTCTTAAAAGCCGGAAATGATCTGGGGTCCTCATGAGTAAAGGCCACTGAAGCATCACACTGGTTTAGTTTTGTGAATGAGTAAATATTGGCCTTTTAGATACAGTGATGAAAAAAATCACTGTTACCTTTTGCTCAGTGTAGTCAGACTCCGTGAAAGTGCATGAACCTTTTAAAGGAGACTCTTCAATTCAGCCTCACAATTACAACGATATTATCCAAGTAGGGAAAGCAAAGGTGTGGTGGGTAGATCGTCCAAGAGCACACTTTGACACACGAGGAGGAAGAGGGAATCACTAGGAAAGGCTTGAGCTTTTGATAGTCCAAACCCACCCCTAGTGGCACACCTGCTCCACCAAGGACACACCTTCCCTCACACTTCCATGAACTCGGGACCAGGTATTGAAGCCCAGGAGCCTAGGGAGACCATTGTTGTTCCAGGGTCTCCATAGATCCTTAGCATCATCACAGGAGAGACATAGGTCCTTGAGGGCGAGTCATGACAGCCACTGTGGGTTATTGTGAGCAGTGCTGGGTACATTTCTGTTTACATGTCATGAGTGAAATACCATCAGCATGTATGGATGACTGAGGACTGGGGCGGAGTGTGCACCCTATACTCCAAGGACCTGTGTATTGTACATTAAGGACTCACATGGACCTGTATTGGTTCAGTCTCCAGTTCTTGGGTTGAGATTCTCCCTGGACCTGTCAGGAGAAGCGCAAGCCTTCACCTCACTTCTACTCCAGCCTCTCCAGAAAGAGAGCCTCGGGACTAAGTAGGTCTTGATTCTTGTATAGTAGTGAGGGCTTTTCTCTGTCAAATGGGACTACCGGGGACCCACAGGGACCCAGCAGGAGACAGATTCTAGGCTGGAAAGCACAGAGAAGCACCTGAGCAACATTTTTTTTTTCATCAGAAAGGTCCATTTTCCAAAGATTACAGCATCAGATTTCAACCTTCCTGTCCCTCATCATGGTGGTATCTTTTTTTGACTGAATAACTAATTGTGCTGTGGAGGATTGTTGATGGCTGTGCGAAGAAGATGCTCAGAAGACATATGAACAGATCATAACAGCAATCAAATTCTACCATAAGACAAGTCTATATTGGGAAGGAGGGAGGGAGGGAGAGCGAACTGGTATAAACATGTAAAATAATAAATTAAATAAAAAAAAAATGCTGTGACTCCAAAATTTAAGTTGAAGGACAAGTTACCGGGGAAAAGGATTTCTGTTTTTGTGTCCACGAAAAGATGTGGATTCCTTCTAGACTAATGTGGTTTGATCACGCCAGACCGCCTGAAACAGAGTACCAGGTGATCCTACATTCAAAACAGCTGGACAAAGCAGCCTTACAGACTACAGCCAGGATTTCTGAATCTTCTTCGAATCCCCCATGACAGCGCCCCTTACCAGCAGGAAGTAGTTTGGAAAGAACAACGCCCAAATTCCCAAATATTGTCTATAAATGTTTGTTTTCATTTAAAAAGAAAAAGAAAAAGAAGTCTATATTACCAACATGGATTGCCACAGCAATGTCAAAGTCAAGAGTATTGGTCACAAGATCCGCTCCCAGGAAGGACTTGATTGTGGTGATG